CCTTCTCTCACACCTCATCTTCACATCTTCTCTCCTTTCTCTCTCCCTTTTCTCTCTCTCGCCTTCTTTATCTTTCTCTCTTTAGGCCGAGGGTGGTGCCGGCGGGAGTCACGAAACGTGGACCTCTTCGCACGAAATGAAGGTCGATCGTCAAAAACTGAGGAAAAATTGCGATTTTACTTGTCCCGGAGCAACCGTTTCGCACGAAATGATGGTCGATCGTCAAAAACTGAGGAAAAATTGCGATTTTACTTGTCCCGGAGCAACCCTTTCGCACGAAATGAGGGTCGATGCGCAAAAACTGAGGAAAAATTGCGATTTTACTTGTTCCGGAGCAACCGTTTCGCACGAAATGAAGGTCGATCGTCAAAAACTGAGGAAAAATTGCGATTTTACTTGTCCCGGAGCAACCGTTTCGCACGAAATGATGGTCGATCGTCAAAAACTGAGGAAAAATTGCGATTTTACTGTCCCGGAGCAACCGTTTCGGACGAAATGAGGGTCGATGCGCAAAAACTGAGGAAAAATTGCGATTTTACTTGTCCCGGAGCAACCGTTTCGCACGAAATGAAGGTCGATCGTCAAAAACTGAGGAAAAATTGCGATTTTACTTGTCCCGGAGCAATCCTTTCGCACGAAATGAGGGTCGATCGGCAAAAACTGCGGTAAAATTGCGACTTTACTTGTGCCGGACGTGTCTGTGTGTAACAGCGTCTGTCTGTAAAAGCGTCTGGGTATAAGAGTCTCTGTGTATAAGAGTCTCTGTGTGTAAAAGTGTTTGTGTGTAAAAGTGTTTGTGTGTAAAAGTGTTTGTGTGTAAAAGCTTCTGTGTGTAAAAGCGTCTGTGTGTAAAAGCGTCTGTGTGTAAAAGCGTCTGTGTGTAAAAGCGTTTGTGTGTAAAAGCGTCTGTGTGTAAAAGTGTTTGTGTGTAAAAGTGTTTGTGTGTAAAAGTTTCTGTGTGTAAAAGCTTCTGTGTGTAAAAGCGTCTGTGTGTAAAAGCGTCTGTGTGTAAAAGCGTCAGTGTGTAAAAGCGTCAGTGTGTAAAAGCGTCTGTGTGTAAAAGTGTTTGTGTGTAAAAGTGTTTGTGTGTAAAAGCTTCTGTGTGTAAAAGGGTCGCTGTGTAAAAGCTTCTGTGTGTAAAAGCCTCTGTGTGTCAAAGCGTCAGTGTGTAAAAGCGTCTGTGTGTAAAAGTGTTTGTGTGTAAAAGTGTTTGTGTGTAAAAGCCTCTGTGTGTAAAAGCGAATCTGTGTAAAAGGGTTTGTGTGTAAAAGTGTCTATGTAAAAGTGTCTATGTAAAAGTGTCTGTGTGTAAAGGCTTCTGTGTGTAAAAGTGTCTGTGTGTAAAAGGGTTTGTGTGTTAAAGCGTCTCTGTGTAAAATGTTGTGAGTGCAGAAGGTTTTTGTGTAAAAAAGGTGTTTCTGTGTGACAGCGGCAATGTGTGTGTAAAAGCGGCTTTGCTTACAAGTTTGGCATGTTTGTTTTTCGGTCACCCCTGTCGTGTTTAGGTCTTGCTGGCAAGTTTTAAGCAATCTTGACTTGTTTGCTTGGCATGTCTCGTAGGCATGCTTAATTTTACTCCCAAAGTGATATGAATGGATTCATGAGGTTACATTGGGATTCACTAATCGTGGGGTTGTGGAGTTTGTGGGTAACACTTTAGCATCACATTTCTTTGCTGAGGTTGGCATGAACATTTTTTGTTAGCTACCCGAACTGTCCGAGCAGACATGACTGTAAGCATTCCCAGAGCTTCTTTTCGTGGCTGTGCCGCTTGTCTTCGGAGATTTTGGAGGCCTGCTGCATGTTTTCATCAGTGCATGGCAGTCATTCGATGATCATGATGGTGATGATGACGATGATGACGACAATGATGATGATGATGATGATGATGATGATGATGATGATGATGATAATGATGATGATGATCAATGATGATGATGATGATGATGACGATGATGATGATGATGATGACGAATCATGATGATGGATGGTAGATGATGGATGAGGATTGTTTCCACGTAGTATGAATATCAGTCATGACATTTCGACATAGCCCATTTGACTTTGATTCGATGCGAGGTTGTGCAGTGGAACAACACAGCTCTTTTTGCGGAGGACCGAAACACACATGATGAGAGTTTTGGCGGATCAAAAAAAAAGATGACATACATGAAAACACCATTGAAACAGCATACACTTCCTGTCAGGTGTCCCAATAATTTTGTGCTGATGTCATTCTTCTTTGTGAACTCATGCCAGGTTCTGGAGTGGATGGCATCCTCTACGCGCTTTGAGGTCGTTCTTCGGCAATTTGGACACAAGTGATCGCTTCAAGGTTTTGCAGGACAATATCGGGACGGACAAAAAAGTTTTAGTTAGGCTCGCCATGACATTACACACTTGGTCACGTATTGTGATGAGGTGCATATCGTCGAGTCGTCATCTTAGATCTTTATAATCTTTAGATTAATAGCCTTAGGCCTTAGCTTCAGACTTTGATAATATGTATATAATTCTGGCCTGCTCCTATAATGCTTTGAGGGGATAGGATGGTTCCCCCACCCTGGCGGGGGGCCAGGTCGGTTCTTTGCCTGACCCAGCACCTTTGTGAGCCGCTTAGTTATTTGATGTTTAACTTTGATTCTTGTATTGCAACCAAAGCTGTCTCAGCATTGACTTTGAACATGAAGTGCATCAGCATGAGTTAAACAGAACTGTCTGAGACTTGTTGGTGCACGCATCTTTGCTTGAGACATTCAGTTTCACCATAGTGCATCCTGTTTCACCATAGTGCATCGGCGTGAGTCAAGCAGAACGGTCTGAGACTCCATCGAAAATCAATACAGCTGCCAATTCCTTTTGCGCATATAGTTGTGCCGGACATCACTGAATGTGATCTGTCACAGTCATTAGTCATAGTCCGTGAATGCTTTGCAGATCCGCATGGTTGGTCTATGTAGCTAGGTTTGCATCGAGTCAGGGCCCCGGGATGGGATGGATTACATGGATAGGCTGTTACCACAAAGAGACAAATCGATATATTATATATTGATAAAGAAATAGAGATATGAGATAGACATGGATGTATGAGTGTTAATATATAGAGATGGATGTATGAGTGTTAAGATAAGAGTTTCAATTCAAGTCACAGTCAGGAGGCAGGACCCTAAACCCAAAAAGAACATGGAAAGGAGCCAAAAGGCCATCCCATTATATCCCAGAAACGTTCGCCGCCTGCCAGGTCCGCCCATTTATCCTTTTTTTGGGGAGATGGCAAACCACCTTGGTTGGGGGGCCCCAAAGCACACAGCCCTCATGACATGTTTATACATGCTGGTTTCGGGTCACGTCATTTCCATTTTTGTTCCGGTTCACATGGAAATGGGACTTCGCCACACCACCCCATCGACACATGCACGCACGATCTAAGGTATACGTGTCCAGGCTCCTCCTCAGGTCTTATGACTTTCAATGGAAGTGATGGTGTACCATGGCCTTGCCATCAGCCATGGTACATCTATTGTCACTGACTTCCAAATACATGGTACGAACTTCACCCCTCCGTCGAATTGCTGAGGTGGACACGACAACAATGACTTCACTGTGACTGCGTAAACATGGGCCGGCCTGTGTGTAAAAGCGTCTGTGTCTAAAAGCGTCTGTATGTAAAAGTGATTGTGTGTAAAAGCGCTTGTGTGTAAAACCGTTTGTGTGTAAAAGCGTTTGTGTGTCAAAGCCTCTGTGTGTAAAAGCGTCTGCGTGTAAAAGCTTCTGCGTGTAAAAGCGTCTATGTGTAAAAGTGTTTGTGTGTAAAAGTGTTTGTATGTAGAAGTGTTTGTGTGTAAAAGTGGCAGTGTGTCAAAGCGTCCATGTGTAAAAGCTTCTGTGTGACTGTGTGTAAAAGTTTTTTGTGTGTAAAAGCGTCTGCGTGTAAATGCTTCTGTGTGTAAAAGCTCCTGTGTGTAAAAGCTCCTGTGTGTAAAAGGCTCTTTGTTAAAAGTGTCTGTGTGTCAAAGTGTCAGTGTGTAAAAATGTCTGTGTAAAAGCATCTGTGTAAAAGCGTATGTGTGTAAAAGCGTCTGTCTGTAAAAGCTTCTGTGGGTAAAAGCTTTGTGTGTAAAAGTGTCTGTGTAAAAGCGTCTGTGTGTAAAAGCTTCTGTGTGTAAAAGCTTTTGTGTCTGCAAGCGTCTGTGCGTAAAAGAGTCTGTGTGTGAAAGTGTCTGTCTGTAAAAGCTTCTGTGTGTGAAAGCTTTTGTGTGTAAAAGTGTTTGCGATGCAAACTATTGTCTTGCACTTCTGCTATTTTGTCTTAATATATAATTTCTAATATGGTGTCTCCATACTAACAAGAGAAGACCCTGCTCCTCTACGCTCTCGGGCCATCCGTCGTCTAGTTAATAGGTAAACCATCTATAAATCGGCCACTTTCCATGGATATGTTAAATAACCAGAGGGTACATATCATTAAATATCCAAAGTATACATGCAATGCATACAGATTTAGTTGGCGAACATAACTCTAACACCCATGTTTTGTTATAACCAACACCTCCTTCCACATCCAGCTTCCAAGCCATCCCCATGGCCAGCCTCCATGGCCGCCAAGACTGCGTGGTCCAATTCCGTCTTAACCTCTGGGCGGATTCCAGATGGATTTCACCAAGGGAAGATCATCACGAAAGAAATGGTTGGTTGATTTTTATACCGTATCGAAATCTCATGAACTCGAAATGCTCAAGCTTGATTTAAGTCATGAACTGTGTGTATATATATATACATATAGAATTATATGTATGTATAAATATGTACATATATAATATACAGAGAGAGAATCATACATATATCATATTCTTATGGTTTTTTGTGTGTCCTCGGTCTTGTGATGTTTTGTGGAATGTCACCATGGAATCATCAGAATATGCCTAGCCATTTGGCAGCTACCTCAGAGCTTCACAAATCATGTGGCTCTGGCGACTCCTTGACTTTCAGGGCCTTCAATTCTACTCGTTGTGCAGCTTCTTCAGCTTCCACTGTTGGGAAGCCGACTCTTTCAGCCAAGCTTTGTCGACATGTTGCTTGGGCCAAGGAGGTCCAACGATCGCAACAAGTGGTGGGATTTCCAGCATCCACGACATGCTGCTGGGATTCTGCCACCCAGCGGGCCTGGAAGAAGATGGGATGGTCAATCTACGGTCATCCTCGAAAACCAAATACCAAAGTGCTACCATGACCCAAACGTAGACCCGTAGAATGGTTGAGTAGTGGAAAGTAGTCTTCCAACCCACTCATGACAGGGTCTATGTTGGTGGTTGCTGGAGTCCACTTTTGAGCCTGTTAGGGTGCAAAATGAAACATGTTACATTACCAACCAACCGACCGACCAACCAACCAACTAGTCAGTACATATTGCAGGCAGTCACAAACCGTCCGACAGTCCGATGCTTGGGAAGCCCCGCGAAGACACGCAAGCGGCCTTCCAGCACACTCACTGAAGAGGCCTAGCCATGACAGGCCGTTTGATGGCTTGCTGTACCATGCAAGTAGCAGAGTATCATCACTTTAGTTGAACTTTATAGTTGCACTCCATGGCGCCAAACAAAAGACGATCTATAGAAGACTTTCTCCCTTGCATCAGATATCTATCGGAACATTTTGAGAATAGATGAGAATGGTATTTGATGGGAAAATGGGATATATATATATAATATATATATAATTATACAAGTAACACAGATGATTTGAATGCATCAGAAATACGGGAAGATCTTCTGAAAACGGGAAGATTTATCCAGCCCAAATTGGGATCTCACATAGCTAATTAATGGTGATATAATATAATACCGTATGGTATGCACATATTACCAACAGTTCTGAGTTATGGGTGTAAGTGAAAATGGGGTGTACCCCGAATTGTGGCAATGTTGAAAGGGGACACGATGACAAAACTTTGGACGCCCGCATGGTCACTCAGGAACCAAACTTTTCGAAACCCAGATGTATCATATTTTCCACATATATCCCAATGATATCCCCATATTCCTGTGAAGTCCTCAGTAAAGCTTTAAATCCATCAAAACCCACGCCTGTAACCCAATTATTTTGCTCTCCGATCTGACAAAGGCCTCGGCGAAATGGCTGGCACAAATATGGTGGCGATGCTTCAAAACCACTGATCTTACTGGAAGAGGACTATATAGCACTATATTACATGTACTAACATGTACTACAGTAACCTACGTTTAGTATAACATGTTGTGGGGCTTACCATATCAATTACCAATTTAATCTTACTGTTGGTACCATATATAGTAAGCCCTCCAACGAAGGTTCTATAGTACCCTGACAAAATGGGGGTGTCCCAGAATACTAACCACCAGAAGATAGAATCCAATCCTTCACTATTATTTTAGTGCGATGTTGCTCTTCCATTTTTCCATTGGATGCAATATATATATACATACATACAATACATAATATGATTATCTATAGGACAACCCCCACTAAGGAAGCTATATATATATATATACTACAGTGACCTCTTACTTGAATGGTCAATGACTTGTCCCTGAGTTTCGGCTGCCAGGAAAAATCTATACCCAAAATTCGAGTGGGGGCAAACCAACTGCTACCACGAATAACGAGCTAACAAATCGGGACGTGGAGGAGAAAAAAACATGTTGGCCATTGTAAGTAGCTAGTACCGGTAGTATGATCATCCCCCAATTCATGGCTGAATCATGCTGAATCCAACCCAACGTTTGACCATGTCTCCTTCTGTGGAACCCCACTAGATTCACATTAGATACCTATTAAACATCATTAAACCAGCATTAAACCACCATGGAACCACCATGGATTCACCATGGAACCATCATTCACTGCTGTGTCCAACTGGATGGCCATGTTACTTGGTGAAATTCCCATCAAATTCCGGTGAAATCCCATGAAAAACGCTAATTATGCAAAACGTCATTCAATCACCATAAAACCATAGAAAATCCATTAAATCATCATGAACATCCATGAACTATATGCCTCATTTCCAACAACAATCTTCCCGACATCGCTTCACCTGCTCCATGTTGGAGGCGTCCAGTGCCTGGCACTGGGGGGTCATCTTAGGGGTTGAATCCTCATGACAGATGGAAAAACCTGGCAGTCTCTGTGGGTCCAGTTCGCCTGTTCCCCTCGTGAATGTTCATCCCCCCAGGTTTCATAGCCTTTGACCTATTCCCAAATTGAACCCGATACTGTAGACCTCCTTTGCGCAGACCTCTTTGTTGACTAATTCTATTGTTGGTTGCCGTGGTTTGTTTACCTTCTAGTGGTTGCACTACATATGAATTACCACCATCCCCCAAAAAGCTAAAGTCTGAAGGAACGGCTGGGACAGCCAGTGTTTGTCAGCGTCCAATCAAAAAATTACTTTACTTCGTGTGATCCCCACCATGACATTTATACATTTTGTTACTGGCAAATCTTCTGGCATTCTATCTGACATATTTTCTGGCATTCGATCTGGCTTCTATCTGGCATATCTTCTGGCATTCTACCTGGCATATCTTCTGGCAGATGTTCTGGCATATCTTCTGGCAGATGTTCTGGCATATCTTCTGGCATATCTTCTGGCATTCCATCTGGCATATCTTCTGGCATTCCATCTGGCATTCTATCTGGCATATCTTCTGGCATATTATCTGGCAAATCTTCTGGCATTCCATCTGGCATTCTATCTAGCATATCTTCTGGCATATTATCTGGCAAATCTGCTGGCATTCTATCTGGCAAACATTCTGGCACTTTATCTGGCATATCTTCTGGCATTCTAGCTGACATTCTATCTGGCATTCTATCTGGCATACCTTCTGGCATTCTATCTGGCATATCTTCTAACATTCTATCTGGCATATCTTCTGGCACTCTATGTGGCATATCTTTTGGCGTGGATACTCGCGGTTGAGGTCCGGCAGGGAACACTGGGCGTGGATGGTCGTGGTTGAGGTCCGGCAGGGAACACTGGGCGGGGATACTCGTGGTTGAGGTCCGGCAGGGAACACTGGGCGTGGATGGTCGTGGTTGAGGTCCGGCAGGGAACACTGGGCGTGGATGGGTTGAGGTCCGGCAGGGAACACTGGGCGTGGATGGTCGTGGTTGAGGTCCGGCAGGGAACACTGGGCGGGGATACCCGCGGTTGAGGCCCGGCAGGGAACACTGGCGGTGATGGTCGTGGTTGAGGTCCGGCAGGGAACACTGGGCGTGGATGGTCGTGGTTGAGGTCCGACAGAGACCACTGTGCGTCGAGGGTCGCGGTTGAGCAGGAGGAGGAGGAGAGGAGAGGAGGAGAGGAGACGAGGAGAGGAGACGAGGAGAGGAGGAGCAGGCAACTGACATAAAATCTAACAACCCTCACCTGGCAGGTGGGGAAAAACATGTTCACTGGTGGTCTCCATGTGCCCGCTTCCCTTTCATCCTTTGGGTCTTTGGGCATCAGAGTTTGATGTTTCTCAAAATGGGGCTCCAACATCAATGGTTTCCCCATGGAAACACAACCAAATTTCGGACGAAAATTTGGGGCTCCACCAAATCTTCGGAAAGACCCAAGACTGGACGACGTTCACGTGCCGGGACCTGCTTCTGCATCGTCTCAGCTAACCTTTCCACCATTGAAGCCTGAGGATGAAACCACAAAATGACCTTCTGGGGTGTCTCTCCTGTCCAATGGGTTCAGTCACCATGACATAGAACAGTTAGCATAAAACAAGCGGACAATTTCACAAAATGTCACAAAGCATATCGAATTCATGTGTGTAATTCTCCGGATTCGACTTTTTAAATCTGTTTCACCCATACTGTGGTAGACCGGTAAACCCAATCATGAACCAATATACCATTTGGGGATGCTTTGTACGGGCCATTTATGGTCAGTCCTTGGGGATGGTGTACCATTGAATTTATCACACTGGGAGACTGTTAATTTGTTTACATTGCCAATCTTAGATACCCTGCCAAAAAAAACAAAAGACTAGTAGTTAGGATTAAAGTACCCATGATTGACCTAGCTATGTTTCCAAGGATTTAAAACCTTGTTGTGACCGTTTTTGCTAACCATTTCCCATGAAATCTGTTGGTCATATGCATCAACTCATGGGGATCTCTCATGTGACTTGCACCATCTTATTAGGTCGTTGGGTCGCTGATTACTACTGTTTGGTAAATAATTAGGTAAACTCAATGCCATAGACCATCCCACGAGTTGGGGTCTATTTGTTTGAATCCTTCCCATTTCATCAAACAATCCTCTTGAGGATGCTGACGACTCAGGCAGGGCAGCGATGGCCTCAAGGACTTGACCCTACTGGGCTCCAGGACCACTTGCTCCGTTTGAGTTTTGCTCAGATCCACCTGGAGCCGCCGGAAGAAACACTGCTGGGCGATGACCCGCATAAAGGGTGCCTTGATTCAGATGCCAGCTCAATTCAGATGGTTTAATAGTGGTTTAATAGTGGTTTAATAGTGATGCTGATGATCATGGTGATTCTATAGTAGTGGTAAATGTATGTAAATGTCACATTTAATAGTGATGTAAATGTCCCAGCTAAAACACTGCCCTGGTCCATGAACAAGAAGGAAAGGGATTCGGATGCTGGAGCTTGGTGAAGGTCTCTTCGAGGCCGGCGAGAACATGTCGGACACGGTGGTCGACCTTTCGCAGCTCTTCTGTGGAGAGTTCTGGTTCTACCGCAGGAGCATCTCCTGCTGCAGGAGAGGGTGCAGGTTCAGGCACTGCAGCGCGGCCTTCATCAGAGGGACCAATATCACCTAGCAACATGAATCTATAGCCACCAAAATAGTGCCCGTCAGGCTGGATCGCTGGCGGATCCTCATTCGCAGCCAGGTGGCAGATGTTGAACTCATTCCCATGCGCAGCACTCACCGGTTCCATCGTGGACCGTTGACCGTTGACCTTAATTGGACGGCTCAACCGCCATTCTGGCTGGTTCAAGCTAAGATTCTGGAGTCTGAAATCATAGTTTTGCTGTGATCAGATCCCAATTTTCAAGAATAGAATTAAAAAATGTTGATGGTGACTTTGTCATGTTTGTCATGTTTGCTGCCTAAGTCCCAATTTTAAGCTGCTTAAATCTCCATATGTGGGTTGTTAAACTGTTAAACCCCCATTTCTCAGCGGTCAACACCCAACTGATGCTTTCCGGTGCCAGAACCCGCCTGCTCAGTCAAGGAGAGCATCTGCAGCCATGAGAGATTGGGAAGGGCTGCATGAAAGAAATAAAAATTATGGAAGGCTTAATTAATGTTGTTCCATGGTTACTATTATGGCTCATTTCTTAAGTTGGATGAAGTGGACAAATGTGGTGATCCTTAACAAATCCAATGCTAAACCAGGGTTTGGTTTGGGGAGTATTGAATAATTATTAATGGGAAGGGGTTACTTACAACACATGCAATACATCTCCTAGATTTTCTGGGTCTTTGGATGCATCTATGCATATGTATACTTGTAAATTCATATATAACAGGCTTTTGCGTGGAAATGTATTATTTGGGACATAGATCTACTTTGGGGGTGCCGTTAAGGTTATAAATAGGTACAACCGTGGTGATTTTGCCGCACCTGCTGCTGCAGCGCGGCAGCAGCATCGGGAGCCTGCAGGGCCGCAAGGTTCAAAACTTGGCGGATGTGAAACCAGCAGGCACCAACTGGAACTATCTGGGAAAAAAACAAACGAATTCCCAACTCGCAATGTCAATGAAGAGGTCATGGCGAGGCGAGTTCTTGTCTTTATTTGGTCCAACATTCAGATACCCAACAAATGCGGAAAACAATTTTTACCAAACCATTTTCCCATAATTTTTTTTTCCATTCTGCCGACAAGAGGTCTCGCCTCGCTCGGTCTCGCGATTGAATTCAGACCCATGTTGGATCACGCACCCTGAAAGTCTGGAAGGAAAGACTCACGGGTGTAAACATCGGAAGCCCTCCAGGCATTCCGGAGCCAAACCAAATCGGCCTTCCGACAGGTGGCTGCAGGCCGAAACCCCTCTGTACTAGCTCGGGTCTTCAGGCCCTGAATCAGCGCTACCACTAACGTGCGGCACAAAGCGGAAGGATATTCCTTCGCAGCAGCCGTGCGAAAGGTTCCGCTCTCACTTCGCCCAGCAAGCTGCAAGGTCGGACGTGGACGCCATAGCTCCATACCCTCCTTGAGGATCTTGTCCATGACGCCAGGATCGCCCAAATTGAGCGCACGCAAGCAGGTAGGCTTCACGCCTTTGGATCCAAAGATATACTGTTGGATGTAGTGGCGGTAGGCTCCAGGGAGCTTCATCATCCATTGCTGATGGGCATCAGTGCGCCAGACCGATGCTCGATCCTCTTGGTCAGCCTCCCATGGATATCCATGGATGCTCCATGATAGCTCCCGCACCGTGGGTCACCGCAGCGGCCTCAATGGTCCAAGAGTTGGTAAGCAACTGCGTTCCCATAGAAGTCTGAACCATTTCCTTCCCTGTGCGCGAGGTCAAACTCCATGGAAGATCTGCAGAGCGAACTGGTCTGGGACCCTTGCCATCCTCAAGCACGATATGCCTGGCCGCAGACCAAGTTTCGCAAGGGGGTCCAGTCAAAACCCCTGCGATGAGGCCTTGCTCAGCAAGGCGTCGGGCTCGGGCCAAGTTGGGCCCAGTGGCAAGGTTGCCCAACTTTGGGTGCACCGCTGTGTCAAGAGACACGATGCGAATGGTAAGTCCCGGCCACAAATGCCGACCAATGTGTTCCAACCACCAGTGACAGTCTCCAATGCGCCGTCGACCACTAAAAAGATGTAGTACCCAAAGAATGGGTGCCTCACTAGTGGCATCAATGGGGACGCCACGACAGGATGGGACCTGCACCATAGGTTGGAGCAAAGGCCGTAGCAATTCATGTTGAGCACGTACCGGATCTAGAATGTGCTCCATCACGATGCTTATCGGCTCAGCCTCCGTCATGTGGTCCTCGTCTCGTACTGGCAAAGGAGCATCATTCCCAGAACTTCCATTCCTCCTTATTTAAGGAATTCCTCCTTATTTAAGGAATTCCTCCTTAAAATTCCTCCTTAAATTAAGGTGGAATTTTTGAAAAATTCCTCCTTAAAATTCCTCCTTAAATTTTCAATTGCAAGGAGATCTTGCACCTCCTTCAGCAGGAGACTTGAAACCTCCTTATCCCAGATCCTGGCAGCAAAACTTTTCACTTCAGCTCTGGAATCACTTGTGCTCGAAAACTTTGCAGAACACTCATGCCTATGGAATAAGGGTTGTGGCTTCCACCTTTCACAGCTCCTAAGTGAGCTAGGAAGCCACCAAAGTCTTCGTCTCGATATGTCCAACTGTCTGATGGACAAGAGTTCTGGAGCAATAAATCTAAGAAGCTGTGGTGCTTTGGTTTGATCTTCCAAGTATGGTCAGTCTCGTTTTCCAAGCTCTTGCACAACAGCAAAAACTTTCTGCCAGGCAGCAGCATTGACTGGTGATTCCATAGATTCTTGGACAAGAAAGAATAACATTGCCACAGTTCTGTGGCAGCCATCTTGATTGTATATTCAAACACATTGTCATCAGCCAAAAATTCATCGCAGATTTGTTTTGCAAGAGTAATCAACCCTCGAGCTTCTGCAGCTTTGGCTCGAAGTTTTGGACTTGAACTGGCTTTCTTTCTGATCATGAGGACTGTCAAAGTAGGAAGCCTGTTTTCCACACCTTCAGTCTTGTAGTAGCTTTGAATTCTGTGGAACAAGCTTTTCACCCTTTCTTTGACATTGTTGCCAGGCAAGTGATTTCCAGAGGCAATTAAATGGTGAAAAACATTGCCCATAAAATCTGCTGCCACGCCCAAGTCCACAATGTGAAGCCAGTCCAAAAGAAATTGTTTGCTTGTCAGTCCTGGTGTTTGAAACAATTCATTGATGTCAATGCCAGAATTGGAAATGGATTGCAACAAAGTGAAATGGTCCAAAGGATCAAATGCCTTGCAGCTTTCAAAGTTTCGAATTTCAATTGGTTTGCACAAGCACAAATGGCAGCATCCTTGTTTGTCTCGCCATCCAGGAAATTGGAAAACTTCTTTTCTCATAGCCCAATCACCTCTCACTTCAAGTAAAAAAGCAGTGAAAGGCAATGCCTTGCCATTGAATGTGCTTCGTTTTTTGTCGCCTGGGTGCCAAAAGCTGCCATCATGCCTTGCTGAAGGCCAAGTGCAATTGGCTAAGTGAATAAAAGACCAAGACAAAATTCCTAACATCTTCGACAAAGTTACTCCCTTGATGCACCAGTGCTTTGGAATACAGCACAAAGGGATTCGCAAAGTACCATTAGGTGGAAGTAAGCCAGGAAAATTCAATGAGATGCATTCCAAAGTTTGACTTCTGTCATAATTGTAAGGTGTGCCATCGATCCAAAGGCCAAGTCCTATGGCTTCTCGAACTTGGAACTGCATTTGCATGTTCGCCAAATGTTTTTTGCTGAGTTCACACATGCCACCAGTCTGCAGCAAGTCTTTCTTCTCAGAGCGCTTCGAGAAGACAAAATGAATCTCATGTGGCAAAAGAAAAGGTATCTTCTTCATCTCTTCTGCTTGTGTTTCAGGATTGTAGCAAGGGATCAATGCAATGTATTCATTGAACCACAGGCAGTTCTTCAACATTTTTCTTTTCATATCCCTTGCCAAATTCTTTTCCCAATTGGCTTGCTTCTCACCACTGCCAGATTTCTCTGCACCTTTGACCAAATCTTTCACACCAGCGGCTCCAGCTATTTGTGCATCTTTCATGAGCTCATTGGCTCTTCTAGCAGAGACAGTCTTGGTCAAAAACAAATTGGACACATTGTGTCGAAACCTCTTCTGGTCAGGTTCCCTAAGGGTAGACAAATCTACCTTTCTCTTGTGAAACATGGCTTGAGCTGGAAAAACATGTCAACATAAAAGTTCATAAGATCTCAGAAGACAAGAAGTTACACATTGTATTTAGTTAATGCTAAATTTGGCCAATGCTTTGAAACAGGGAAACAGTAAAGGAGATCTTACACCTCCTTGAGTCTTGTACACCAGCTTAGAAGCAGGCTCTTTTTCCAGCGACAGTTACCAGCTGCGCATCTTCCAAGCAGATCCCTGCGATATTTTAATCTGCATTTCCACATTCCAAAACTGACAACTGCACCAAATGCGCTTTCCAAAATCTAAGGGCCAAACAGCTCCTACAGCAATGCCTGGTGAGTTTTCACCTTGGCTTTTGCTTCTTGCAGCTTCTCTTGGCTGGAAGCAAGCCATGCTTTGGCAGCAGGCAATGATTTCGAAAGGCTTTCAGGAGAAGTGTCCTCAGGAGCAAGATCTTCACTGGCTGCGACATAGGATCGAAGGTTGGCAATGGCTTTCAACTGCTCTTGACACCAAGTCTTGGCATGGAAGCTTGGGTCACCTTTGATTTCCAAACGACAGGCCAGGTCCTGGGCCTTGGCAAGCTCCTTCTCCCAGGCATTCTTGCAGGAATTCAGACTGTTGCACACATTCTGAAACTCCTTCAAAGGCTTACTGACCCCCTTGTCATCCAAAGCCTGGCCTGAGATCTGCTTGTCCATTGGGTCCACAGGGTTCTTCTCAATGGTGGCCAGTGGCTGCTTCCTCCATGGAGGCAGTTCCTTTGGAGGTTCCATTGAACCTTTCACTGAAAACTGAAAAGTGTAATGATGAAGTAAGTTGTGATGTCTATGAATCTCCAGTTCCAAATCCGATGGTTTCTATTTTGGATCCAAAGTGATTTTTATTGGAGGTTAAAATTGGTTAAAATTAAAATTGCCAATTTTAATTTTAACCTATCCTGCCTTTAAAAGTAATACATAAACTGGTTAAAATTAAAATTGGCAATTTTAATTTTAACCAATTTTAACCTCCTTATTTTTCCAATTTGAAACCTTTACAGTCATCATGCATGACCTGAGTGAATTGTATCCAGAGTTGCCAAGAGCCACTCAAACAAAGGAAATGGATGGGCATCAGCTTCGGCCAAGGAGATCTTGCACCTCCTTTTTGATTCCAGTATTGGACACTAGTGCAATGATTGTGATACCTCAGGTTCAGATCATCAGCTCTCATCATCATTCCAAAGCTGATCATGTGCATCCATCAAGGCTTCAAAAATGATTCTACAGGTCCATCACAACTACATTGATCAATATGACTCGACAGCTTCAGCCATGCAGAAATGCTCATATCACAGATATCATGTTTTACTTAAATTTAAATTTAGTTTATCAAGGAGATCTGGCACCTCCTTAAAGAGTCGCTTGCGCCCATAATCTCCAATCATTTTTCCAGGGAAGCTCAATTGACTCAATCTACATTTGAATCCTCATCCTCTTTTGATTTTTCGGCTTGCTCTCCAGCATCAATAGGTGATGTAGGAGAATATGGGGTTACAGCAGGACCTGATCAGGAGGCATGATGATGAACATATTGCACAGTGCATGGTTGACATGAGATGCTTTCAAATCCACAGTCACAGAAAACTCCAGCCTGTGTAGATCATTCCTTCATCCAGGAAATGTTCTCAAGTAGCTTGTAGAAGGCGAGGTGGCAGGCGCTGGGGTACTTGGAGGGGGCATTGGAAGGGGCATTGGAGAAGCACCTGGAGGGTCATGAGAACTTGGAGGGGCACCTGGAATAGGTGCTGGAGGAGGTGTATTTGGAGGTGGTAAAGGTTGCGATTGGGCATTGACATGAGGTGTCAATGCCTGGATCACCTGGTTTTGTAGCCTGATCAGCTCCAAAACACGGTCAATCTCCTCATCTCCAGGCCTCCTGCGAGAGGAACTTGATTGTCCAGCTCCCATAGCAACAGCAAGAAAAAATATCGAGCACTGAAACAGGAGCTAGAAAGCCAAAGCAGCTTCAGTTGCAAAATCCATTCTCAACACTGCAATTGCCATGCCAAACAATTTCAACATTCCAAATTCCAGACAAAACTTCTCAAATCCAGAATTCCAACCCAACATTAAACATTAAAGCCACATCCTATGAAAGTCTATAAGCCATTTTTGAAATCCACCCAGGCAGTAAACTCTCAAGTTCCAAATGTCAGGAGATCTTGCACCTCCTTAAGACAGAAAAGTGGAAAGACTATTTCCTATTTTCCTATTGAGAACTCTCAGGAGATTTTACACCTCCTTGAAACATGCAGCAGAAATCAGCAGCCATTTTTTTTGCAATTTCATCCAATCTAATCCACATCCTGTCCAACCTTCCACTTTCGAATTTCCTCATTCAAAAATTCAATCACAGATTGTTCAGTAGCACCATTGTGCAAATCAGCAATGCATTTCTGGGCCAAATCCAAGCCAACTTCTCTTGAAATTTTGTTCAAAGTGAAAGATTTGATTTGTTTCTTGTCTCCAAAATTTCGTCTGACACCTAAAGCACCATACTTTCGACTGCCTTTGGCAGGATAATCTTCCAAGCGATATTCAGGAGATGCCAAGTCAACAGCAGCAGGTTCAGGATCAGCCACTGCAACAGCCGGCCGAGCTTCAACATCCTCTTCTTCAGAAGTGCCAAGTACTGCTTCACATGCAGCACGCTTTTTCAAGATTGCAGCAGGCCTTTTCAAGACTGCAGCAGGCCTTTTCAAGACTGCAGCAGGCTTTTTCCCACCTGTAGATTGCCTATAGATCTTCAAAGATTCATTGGGAATTTCAGATTCAAATTTGTTTTCACCGAAAGCAGCAATGGCGAAGCCATTTGGTCCTTCACTCATAGTAGCTTTCTCCACCTTGCTATCCACAAAGCGACATACCACCATGGCAGTAGAATCGATCCAGGTTCCAACACTCACAGGCTTCTTAGGACTCGCTTGGCTCTCTTCACTCGACACTTCTATCAATTGATGCTCTTGGCTATCCAATGTTTCTGAGCTGTGGCCTGGAGGAAATTTTTGCAAAAGTGGTTCATTCACAGGCAACTGTGGGATGGAGCTCGCATTGGAACTTTGTCTCATGAGCCTTCGCTTGGCAATGGCTTTCTGAACAAACTTGCCTTTCTGCCGGTTCCCATGGAATTCTGAGCACTCCAGATAGATCTTCACAAGCTTACCCATCCAAGGCTCATATTTCTTACTTGAAATTGACCATTTTGCTTTTGTTCTGATGTGTTGCACACATTCGACAATTGCAGAAGACCACTTCTTCGCTTCGTCACTCAAAGTGCGAGGGTTGACTTTCAAGGCAGCTTCCTTCAAGCAGTCTTTGGATGGTCGAATTGTTTTCTGGAACATCAAGCCCAGAAATTTTCGATAATGCTTGCAAACTTGATCAATTTCAACATCCAAGTACTCCTTGGGATCCAAACAAGCCACCTCTGCTTTCAAACATGTGCAAAGGTCTTGAACAGAAGCAGTGTTCTTAGCTCTATTCATCTTGAGAAATCAACTGCAGATGCGATGCAGAAACAGTACATGCAGGAAATCAAAACACCAAAAGGAGATCTTGCATCTCCTTGAAGCAACCTCCAAAGGTTGGTCTTGATGCAATGATGATGTCAAAGATGTATCTAAAAACAGTGAAAAAAATCCTCCTTAAAAAAAGATTAAGGAGGAATTTTCAAAAAAAAAACTCCTTAATTAAGGAGAATTCCTCCTTAATTAAGGTGGAATTCCTTAATTAAGGAAAAAATCCTCCTTAATTAAGGGAATTCCTCCTTAATTAAGGTGGAATTCCTTTAAAAAAAAACTCCTTAAATTAAATAAGGAGGAATGGAAGTTCTGGGTTCATACGCCGTTGCCAGCATGCTAGTCGTCCAATTGGTGATTGCTGCACCATCTGCCGAATGGCCCGGAGACATCGCCCAAAGAAAAGGACATCCATCTGTGAAAAGCGAGAAAATCGCACATCATCCATGAGCCAAATCGCAAGAGCCCACGAACCATGACCCCCAGTCAACGGATCTTCATCACCTTCATCAGCAATGCAGGAGAGGCGCCATAGAACTCCATCAGGATCATTAGCACTGTGCAAGGAAGAGTCGTGGAGCACTGCATCAAAAGCCACCTTAAAAGCCTCAACCCTTTCATCATTAACAGGGGGACAGAAATTTTCAACCCTGCATGCCTGTTCCCATCTGCGATCTGCGTCCTCACGAGTGCAGCAATGTGTTTCCGACTCCGTCAACACGTGAGGGATAACCGCAGCAGGAAAACGTAGATGTCGCTCATCTCGATCCATTTCATCGATGGGCACGATGTGTTCAAGGGGTTCGTGCATCCAAGTAAGACGTTCATAACAACCACCAGGATGACGACGACGATGGTGAAGATGGATTTGAAGCCGATTGCTGGTCCAACAACACGTCCAACATGCTGGGCAGGTCGTGGTTATCATGTAACGGCGTTCATCACTTGGTTCTCCATGCGCACTCCATAAGTGGGCTTGCCATTGTCGTTGGGTCGCAAAAGTTTTGGCACACCATTGGCATTCAAATGACTGAGCAACGAAGGGACGAGGCATCATGTCATTGGCAAAGGAAGCACCACCAAATTCAAGCTGTTGTCGTAATGCATGATGTCCTGCAAGTGCTTCACCAATGACAGACCCTTGATGAAGAGCACGTTGAAATAGGCGGCGAACCCAACGAGGACCATCGTGTTTGTGATCAGAAAACCATTGCACAATGGCATCGATGGACATGGTCAAAGGATCATCAGCAACAAAGGATGCATCAACTGACACAGCCCACGCCATGGCCTGCCGAAGAGCCTGAAACCAAGATCGAGGAATGTCCGCGACCGCTGTGGCCATCTCGACAATCAAGTGCGGTGCATCAGCAAAGAGATGGAAGGCGAACAAGAGTCTGTGTTTGGCCAAGCGTAGTGAGATTGAGGGCAGCCGCCACTGCAGAAGAATTTGCACGTCGGTCAGCTGCCCAGGCGCCCAATATCCATTCCCCAGCACAGATCGGATCCATTTGAGGTATGCACCATGGAGGCGTTGAACCTGTAAAGTGCCAAGAAGTGGCCAATTTCCAGCACCATGGAACAGGATGGGCATAATAAGGGCCTCCAGCAAACGCAAACGAACCGTCACCTTGATGTGACGATTGCACAGAATCCCACGCCGGATCTGATTATGCGCAAGACGGGCTTTGTGAGCTCGATGTCGAAGTTCAGCATCGATACCACCATCACCTTGAAACATAGTGCCAAGATGTTCATAGAGAGGCACGCAACGAACCATCTGCTTTGTTGAAGGAATTGAGATGCGGGCAAAATGATCACGAAGACACTCATGCCGATGAGCAGGAGCATCAGCGCCCCGGAATGTGAGTACTACTTCGGTTTTGCGCGGCTGCAGATTCAGCTGGAGTCCAAACGACGAGCAAACATCAATCAACGCTTGCAATGTCCATTGTATAATAGGTTCGAGCGCCGACGCATGTGAGGCAACAACCGGCACTGCCAAATCATCCACCCATGCCACTGGAGCGGCCCGAAGTCCAAGCAATTGAAAAGCAGCCTGAAGGGGCCCATGCTGATCCAATCGGATTTGGAGTTCCTGAAGGACAAGCGCCATGAGGCTATTAAAGGCTACATCTGCAAGAGGACTGCCAGGTCGACTCCCTCGCTCTGTTTGATGCACAGCTTCTGAAGCCCCAAGTGTGTACCATGTAAACCGATGGCCATCCCGTAGAAGTCGTGCTGCTGGCTGCGCGAGCGGCAAAGTGTCAATGGGTGGAGGGTGGTCAACCTTTTCCTGAAGTGCAGTCAAATCAAGGTCATGTTGCTCAAGGATCTGTGTCAACTTCGGGTGCAAAGGCGCTCCACCAAAAATCAGCTGGCGTACCATGGAGTGGAAGGCACTCTTGATATCCACGAAAAGAATAGCCGAGGATAGTGATCTCCGAGCGGCCATCTGGGTGAAGGTGCGCACATACAGGGTGGCAAAGAGGGTGGAACTGCGCGCAAATCCCCCAAGCTGAAGCGGCATGCGCATGAATTCGAGGGCTGGTAAGAATTGTCCACGAAGGTGCGAGTGGATCAACTTACCAATGCCGTCAATCAACATGATCCGTCTCATCCCATCAATACGCTGACTGGCTTCCTTTTTCGCAATGGGGTGAAGCAATCCTCCCTTGCCTTGCAAAGGTTCCGCACCAAGAATCCACACCTTCATCAAAAATTGATGTAAAACATCTGAATGGGTCTGACAAACCTGTTGGAGGGCCAACGGTGCGACACAATCAATGCCGGGGGCTTTGTTGGTGGAAATGCGGCATCCCAAAGACTCAATGTGCAGCCGGGATGGCAAGCTGTTCAAGGACATTGTCAAAGGAATATCTTCAGCATCTTCTCGTTGCGCTTCATGGCATTGGGCCAACAGGTTTTCGTATGTGACACCATGGCCAGCTTCCAATGCATCGTAATGTTGAAATTGTGCCTCCAAGGAGGGGCCTGTGCACCTAAGATTGGAGCGTCTCTTGGACCTCCACTTAGGAAGTGCATGTTGGACAGCCTTCCACATCTGACGACATCCCTTCGAGGATTCGATTCCTGTGTCCGCAGCTAACTTGGCATAGAAGTCTTGGTCGTCAGCTCGGACGGCTTGCACCACACGAGGGGCGAGGTCATTGAACGCCCATCTGTGCCATGCCTCAGTGTGATCGCATTGTTTGACCCATGCAGAGAGGGGAGAGCACAAAGTCTGCGGTCGTCTCCATGCTTCAAAGATGAGTCTCATCCAGCCAAAACGAACATGACGACGAACCTCCGTGCATCGTTTCCAATGATACCGCTTGGCTTCGACAAGTTGCCGGGTGCTCTCTGTCAGATGACGTTTGCGCCAATGGCGTGTGGTAGGATTGCGTTGTCGAATCCAATGCTGAAGCTGAGCAGCATGGGTGTGCACATCCATAGACCAAACAGTAGCAAAGGAAGGGTCAAAGTCCACCTTGACACGCTTGTCACGTGGACGTCGATCAGCAGGATAATATTGTAGCCCAATAGCAGCACAAACGCATTCATGATCTTTTCGATGAAGTGCCAGGTCCACACCCGAACTAACCCATGTGGTCACCTCATCAATCTTGACGTTGGAGGACATGGCAATGAAGTCGATGCGCGCCGTGGTGCCCTTAGGGTGGGTCCACGTTCCTCCGGAACCCTTGTGACACGTAGCAAAGGTCTGAGGAACAAACAAGTTGTGGTTGAGAAGCCAACCATGAAAACAGGCTCCTTTGGCATTCTCATCATCAGCCTGATGAGCTCCAACTGCTGAGGATGTGTTGCTGCCAAGACGGCTGTTTGCATCTGCCAAAACTATGGTTTGCCATTGTCGGTATGCCATTGGGATGGCTTCAGTGGTGGCATCCCAAAAGGCATGCAAGACGTCCTCATCATCCTCTGTGGGAGCATGAACGACAACAAAGAGAAGCCGACAACCTGGGTAAGCCCACCGAACCACCAACCGTTGGGAAGTAGCATGGAGGATGCGCAAATCAGAGGCATTCACCTCAATGCTATCCGAGTCAATGGAGATCTTTTTCCGCATCCAAAGCTGAACTCCTCCATGCCCTCGCTTCGTCGCAGGTCCTGAAAGCACATGAAACTCCTCAAAGAAGGAATGCCCAGTAGCACGCGATCTGGTCTCCTGAATGCCAACCACATGCAGCCCTTCTTGAAGAAATTGTTCAGCCAGACATTCAGCTCTTGCACTGAAAAAGGACGCAGCAAAATCTTGACCAGGGAAGAGCGTGAGGACATTAGCAGTCGCAACATTCAATTGGAAAACGAAGTGGTCTGGACCTGACTCATCAATTTGGCGCCGTCGCAGGACCGCTGGATGACGACAAGCAGATGGTGACGTCGAGAAGGGAGCTGCCACATCAAACCTCCATTGCGTTCCAACCAAAGAAGGGGCATCCGTATGATGACGCAATGATTTCTCCAGAAGCCATAACCATTGAATGGAACAAAGATCTTGTCCTTGAAAGGTACAAGTATCAAACCAGTCATCAAGATCAATGGTGTACGCATCATGCTGAAGCGCATGGCGGCAAATTGAATCCGCCGCTTCATTCCATGGATCACCTTGATGACTGCGATGGTGAGTCCAAGTGATAGGCGTTGGTAATAAGATTTCGATCCATTGAATGAGTGATCTCAAGGTCACGGAGAGGTCGGAATTGCAATGTGCCATCTGGAGCCCTTGGGCGATATTGGCTGTGTGTTCACAATCAAATGCAATCTCCAACCATGATACATCAGCAGCATGACAACGAACCAGTTGACGCATCCACAATGCGGCTAAAATCAAGGCCGTGGCCTCAGCCCGTGGTGCCGTAGGTTGCCCAAGGCATTTGGTAGTAAGAAACCCGCCACATCGGAGGCCATCTTCCGTGTGAACAAGGAGAAAGACACCGGCTGCAGCCTTACCTGAAGATCGCCAAGCAGATCCATCTGTGTAGAAGGACAAGCCAGTAACACGCTCTTGCTGCCACATAGGAACAGATGCCAAAGAGTACCATGTAGACTCATGCCACCAAACCTGATGCACATCCGTGTCCGACTGAAAAGGCTGCTCCAAATCAAACTGTGCTCGAAGAAAAAGAACACGCTGACAATCAACCGTCGTGAATCTCGAAGGTGGAATGCATTCATCCAGCTTGATGATCTTTTTGGTATTCACCTGTTGGAGCAGACTGAAGTCATCGCGTGTATCCTCAACTTCTGCGTGGGAGAGGGAATCCATTGCAATCGCACCCGACAGGGTAGTGGCAGGATGATGAATATGAAAGGCCAGATGCATACCATGCGCTGCCTCAAATTGAAGTACATTAGTGAGGTCACGGTCTCCAAGAAGAGTACGACAGTCAGCCGCACGAGCGCCTCTACAGGTACCATCCAAATCCACATATCCACAAAGAATGTCATGAGACAAGAAGCAAGGGACTGTGAGACAGATCAATCGCGGATGCCATGGATCATCATGAGAATCGAAAATGGCGACCACGATGGAGCAGCGAATAGGTTGAGCATGTTGCACCAGAATCAAATGGGCAAATACATCAGCTTGTCCATCGAGGGGCGTAGGATGCACGATGACCTCAATCAGCGAGGCAAATGGATCAATCCAATCGTCGCAAACCATGATAATATCATGATACCATTGAGCAACGTCTCCAGTCAGTCGGACTTCACGGCTCAGTCCACTATGAGGCCGACGGTCATGCTCAGCATACCAAACAGCAATAGTTAAGGTCTCCGGAGGATGCTCCTGCCACATCAGAGCTTGTTGCTGTAGAAACCGGTGCAAGTCCTGAATCTGCGGTTGTCCATGAGGAATACGAGGAAAGTGATCTCGTTGGCGCGCGATATGTTGCATTTCTTGTTGAGCTTGCTGATAATCATCATCAACTTTGTCGACTGGTTGTGAAGAGAAGGGACCAATTGGGTCAAAGGACTTCAGGGTAGCCCAATGCCTCAAGGGTATCACCTGTTCGTCATGAGAGTTGCCGTACGCAATAGGTGCCTTTACTACACTGCCAAAATGTGTAGTACCAGGCGTAGACGATGCACAGGCACCCTCGACGTGTATCCCATGAAGCAGCTCTTTACTCCTCGAAAGTTGAAGAAAGTTGCTGACATCATCACGCTCCTCAGGTCGCTGAATGAAGGGATCAGTAGCACTGGCAGCTTGTGAATGACCATGGCACCGTGGCGGCTGAATGTGAACTTCAATGCTGATAGCCGTATACACATCATGCCGAATGTACTTCTCAAAGTGTTGGATGCCTGCCATAGCGGTGCAACGATGCACATCACAAAGATGGTTGATCTGAAGGAGATCAATAAGATCTTGTGTGCAAAGCCAACGTGGAAGAGAATATGCCATTTGATGGATGCGATCACCTTGCTGTCCATGCAAGAACGTGGTAACAATGCTTGCCACAACAGGTTCACAAGGATACTGTTCAATCATCATGTGAATGGTGTCAATGCGAAATCTGTCGTTCCATGGCCAAGGAGAAACGATATTGACATGCGTCAAAGCATCAGGTTGTAAAACCGCATTCCAGGGTTCCAAGAGATCAGCCCACCATTGATCAGGTGGGGCTGTCAGTCGTACTGCAATTGGTTCACGACAGGTCCGTGATGTTTGGTGGTTGATGAACCATGTCCATACGTAGAGCACGGGTCCTTCCTCTTCCATTTCGGTGGTAGCATGGCGCTCGAAAGCTTCTGTCAGTTGCTGGTGCCAAAAGCGCTCAAGTCTGCGTGGCATAGTCCTCGGAATTGTCTGTGGTGGTGGATGGACATCCACAGCAGAAACTGGATCACCTGAGGCACTTGAGTCAACAGAAGTACGGCTAACTTGCATCAAGGACGTAGCATCAACATCACCGGCTGGCAATAAAGGCGAAATGGTCACCAGGACGGAGTCACCTGGATGAAGTATGGCAACCTCTTGTGGAGCCCACTGTGCATCGCCAGCCTGAAAATAACATGTACGCGATGAACAGAAACGGCGTACCCCAAGAATATCGATGGGGTCATTCCGATCAGCATATTGCGGCAAAAATGCAGCCACGTGCCAGATACGTCTGTGCACAGGATGATCAAAAACCGCTGTCAAAAGCGTCGGAATGTCAGGGCCGTGTCCTTGTACCAGCAGCAGGTGACCAACGGTCTGTTGCTGTGCGTCGCCAGGAGGGTTAGGCAAGACGAGGTGCACCCATGCCGCACTGCTTTGATCGATGACATCGCCCCACAGATTGCGTAGGTCATGATACCAGTGCTGCCGAAGACGATCAAGTCGCAGTACCCGAGACTCAGAGTTGCGAGGGTATCTGGTGTGATGGAGAAACCACGTCGTCCAGTATTGCACAGGTCCTTCGTCTTGGAACTCAACAACTGCGCAATCATAAAATGTCTTGCGCAATGGAGTAGACCAGTTGGCATTGAGAGGAGGAAGTGCATGCCCATCACGTGCAACTTGCGCAGCAGCATGTCCATTGGTGAAAGCCAGACTGGGAAACGTGGCACTATTGGATCTCGTACCCCATGAAGAAGTGCCACTCAGTTTCATAGACTTCTGAAACAGGCTCGACCCTGTCGGAGTAGATCTCTGATTGGGCGATCCACTCCTTGATCGACGTTGCCGTTTGGAGGGTGGAACATCATGCTCACAGATAGGTACCACAACACTGGCGCTGGAGTGGTCCTTTGGCGGCAAAACGATAATGCGTAAATAGACCCCATGAGTGAACTCACGTGGAGCATCATCGTCTGGGTCCCAATACGCTCTGTTAAAGAAGAGCAAACAAGAAGCGTCTGGTCGATCACGATCACAAATCGTAGCAAGCTGCAAATGTTGCAAGACGGTGGAACGGCATAGGAACCTGGGAAGCCGCCATACTCTACGAGGCAAGGTCGCCGGTGGTTCATTGCCCTCTTCAAAGACAATGTCAACGACGACCAACTGGTCAGGCGAACCAGGAGGAATGTCACCGACCCGTTGAAGGATGATTGCTTCTTCTTCCACATGCTGATCAATCAAAGGCACTTGTACATGATGAAAACCAATGGCAAGGTCGCGATGCAAACCGACAACGCCCAATACATCCAGGAGTATGGTAGTATAGGTTGTCCAACGCACAAAGCAGTGATGATCAGGTTGCATCAAACCAAACACGTGTAGGCCTTTCAGATCTTCCTCATCAAAGTTGGAGCTGGCTATCGGTGAACTTTCCTCTGCTTGGTCTTCAACATCATCCAAGGAGGAATCAGGGTGCACTATGGTGGCACCAACCGTGGTAGCAGCGCCAAGAGGTTCGGCAGCATCAGGCAAGGGTACGCCACTTCCTTGTAAATCTTGAAAAACTGCGACAAAAGAATGTCCATTCTGCATCCAATGCGCGGGTGCAGTGGTGGTAGGTATCACTACACCCCCATGGAAAAGATCACAAGCATGAGATTGAAGCATCACATCCGCATTAACCGCCGTGAGGATGTCGACGCCACTCACATGCCGTGGTAGCGATGTAGCCCATGTGTAGCTACCATGTGCGTCAGCAGTGGGCGGAAAAACTGTGGTCAGCCCACCAGCTTGCTCTGGGCCACCTTGCGTAAGGAGAAGATCCGCGTGTGCAGGCCAAACTCCTTGAAGAGCACGAACCTCAGGAAAAACCACAGCAATGTTGAGCACCTCATCATTGTGAAGGTTGTCACGCCACGCTGCGAGAAGTTCGCTGTGCCACATGGTAGGATTTGCCGGTAGATGAAGAACACGAGGAACTGTCCAAACACGTTGGTGGACATGATGCAAATACCAAGTACGCACAACATAGGCTTGTCCATCAGGAAGCCGAAGTAGGTTGTCTCGCCAAAGATGCTGAAGGTGATGAATATATCCTGGGATCTCGTTGGTCAGTCGTCGATCAAGAAAGTGCGTAGCTGATGAGCTCCCCATGGAACTAGACGCTGCAGAATCTTGTTGCACCGATCTATAAGATCTTTCATGATGACCACCAGGACAAACATGAGGATTGGGTCCATGGCACAAGTCATTGAGGATGGTCTGCTGGATGTGGAACTCCCCAGAATTGCTCTTCCCCTGAAGAACCAAGACCGTGTCGTCAAACTTTACCTTGCCTTTGGATTTGTTTCGTTGGGACGGCAGAACAAAGTCCTCGCAATGAAGTGGCCCCCAAGCTCCTACTTCAATTGCCAAGTCTTGTGCCGATTCGATGGCCTCCCATGGAGACATGAATGACGGTTCCTGCAACACCGTGTGACTCCAATGAAGAAGAGCTGCATGTGGATCACAGGTGGCTTGAAGCCCTTGATGCTGGTACGCATTTGTCACACAGCACCGGGCTTGCCAAAAGGCTGCATACTGGGCGAAGCAGTAGCACCAGGTAAGTCTTCGGGTGCCGATGCCGATTGTTCTTTCCTTGGCCGCTTCGGTTTGGGCTCGAGTCGATCGGCTGATTCTGACAACATCGTCAAGCTGTTGACCACCTGATTGAGCCCTTCGGCAATTTTTTGCGCGCTTTCGTCGCGCGGCAAGTCCTCTTCTTCCTTGGCTTCTGTCTCGTCCATTTCGTCCTCTGATGGCACAGTGATGGCTTCGTCGGTTCCAAGAGCAACCGCACGCTTCTTGGCAACATCCACACGCCTCTGCGTGCGACGAAGGTTCGCTGTGGCCTCCTGCATCTGGGTCTGGAATGCAACCTCGGACGTCTGGAACTGTGCCGTGTACTCTTTCCATTTGATCACAGACTGCTGAAGGAACACACGCCACTGCGACCATAACTGCCGTCTGGCGCTTTCGACTGCCAGCAAGGACTCCTTTGCCTTTCCATGCTCCCGAACTGCGTCCAAAAGGTCGTTGGTGCTTTCCTTGTCGTCTTTCTTCATCTCCGCATGGACCAAGTCTTGAAACTCGGGTGAGAGATGGTCCTCCTTCTTGGCAGCTTTCACAATGCGATTCAATTTCTGTTGCGCACTGCTTTCCTGCTTGGGCAATAAGACGGAAGGAACACCAGGTGGATGCAGGGCTGTCGATGACGGTGACATGGGCATCACGGAGGTCTCCATAGAAGGCGGCATGAAAGGCATCGAAGGCATCGAAGGAGCTCCCTGAGCAGCTTGTGGCATCCAGGGTACCCCATGAGGCGCCGGTGCTGCCATAAGCAAGGGCGGTGGGGGTGGCGGCGGAGATGCCATTTGCATGGGAAATTGAGGAAAACCCTTCCCAAATCCTTTCGGACCCTGTGATGCCATAGAGCTCGACCATTGACCAGATGCTGCCCAGGAAGCATTTCCATGATCGCCGCTGGCAATGTGCGGATCGTTGTGAGACCACTGTGCATCCTGCTTTTTTTTGCGGGACCTCGGTCTGTTCTTGGTTCTGGGACTTTTGGTACGTTGCTGTGGTTGATGGCCTTGCCAACCTGCATTCTGCCCATACGAAGCACTTTGTTGAACACGGTGAGCGCCAGGTTGCCCCATGCATTGCTCCCACGCTTGTCCACAAAGGTCGCAGTAGTAGGCCTGAGGCGACCTCATTTTCCTGCAGGTGGCACAGTACCAACCCTGTTGCCCCGAATGTGCCATGGCTTGTCTGATCCGATCCAGAAACACCGGGTCTTTGGAATGGTGATGCTTCAAAATCTTCCAAAGATGTCCAAGACGGTGAGGTTGCAATCGGATGATGCCACGATTGTGTAGGAACCACGCTCGTCGCGCACCAGCTCGCTTCCTGCGAGCAGCTCTGCGTTGCGTTGAGGATGCCGTAGCCACCCGCAGTCAGGATCACCAGGGCGTACCCAATGATGAAGCGCATGCACCACCAAAACCCAGGATCGAAGTGAACCGGCTGCAGAACCCAAGCAAGCCCGAACACCGCAAAGAACCCAAGGACGATGTGCAAGAAGACCACAGGCAGAGCACTGCAAGGTTCTATGAACCCGCGGGTGCAAGCACGAAACCCGCTAAGGTTAGAGGCAACAGCGAGGGGATCCTTAAACAAATCCAAAACCCTCCTGAGCCGAAACCTTTTTTCCCATAATGTTCCAATCAAAAACCCATGGGGTTTTCCCCCATATCTTCGGACGCCAAGTCTGCGATCGGGATCGGTCGCCTCCAAAACGGCGGTCTTTGGCCCTCCCGGATCCGACGGATCCGGTGTCGCTGTGGCTTTTGCAGAAGCCACCGTGGCTTTGGCTGGCTCCTGTGGCGCGGCAACGGGGATGCTGGAAAGACATCGAGCATGGGACGAAGCAGTTGAAGCAGCACCATTTCCAATATTTCATATTTCAGAACGCATGTATTATACCATATCTATATAATATATAATATATATATATATGTATATAACTTATTATATAACTATATTATATATAATGATTATAAATGTATTCTATTGATATCCTACTGTAGCTGAATGTTTGCCGGTGTCAGTGACAAACACAAAGATATCAAATCAAAAAGACACATATTTCCGTAATTTCCATTGCCATCTTTGAACAGTGGAGAGTGGAGAGTATAACCAGCCAAATCATGCAACATCATCATTCTGCATGGCTAAATCACATCAAATCGCGATGTTTGGATCTATTTCCGTTCGCCAAATCACAATTCTTGAATGATTTGGCAAAATAATCATTCTTGCGAAATGGCTAAACATTCAAGATGATTAAAGATTCAGAATTGGATAATTACAATCATGATTTAGCCAAGGCGCAATTCTTGGATGGCTAAATCACTTTTTGGGACAGCGACCTCCCAGCTCTTTCCCGTCTCCCAGCTGGGGCGCTCCGCTGGATTCAGCGTCAACTTCTGAGTGATGGAGTCCACCTTTTCGGATGACCAACTCGGAGGGAGTTCACGAAAATTTTAGGAGTTTTCACCAAAAAAAATGTGGATTTCAATGAATTTCACTGGTGATAGATGGGATTCCATGGGAATATGTCATGAAGATGAAAAGAGAACCGGAGATCAAACTAGTGATGTATAGCTTTACTAACAGCAACATGGCATCAATTCCCATCCAACAAAAATTGGGCCTGATGCTGAAGAGACTCCACCTGAAGATGGGCAAATTTCAGACATCAACTGGAACCACTCATGCGGTGTTACTGGTTGGTGGTTGAGCCTACCCCCCTGAAAAATATGAGTTCGTCAGTTGGGATGATGACATTCCCAACTGAATGAAACAAAAAAAACATGATCCAAACCACCAACCAGATAATGAATAAACATACATTAAAAAAAGTGGTGAATAACTCATAATAACTCACTATAGATATCTAAATGACATCAACACAAATCTATTGAAAATAAGTCATCCTATCAAAATAAATATATATATATATATATATCATGATCTGTATTCTAATAGTTCTTGTCTTTTAATCACCTTAACAGCTCACTTAAACCTCAAATAAGATCACGCATAGTTTTAGGTAACATGCGTGTTTTGGGCACAGCATTGTGCTGGTGTCGCCACCGCAAGGTTAATTTTTTGTGAGCCGTCATCATTCTTTGTCGGAGAGGATGATTTTCCGCACTAACCATAACTCACAAGGAGGTTGTTATCAGGTCGCTATATTCCGTTTCCTACCCGTTTTGCACTGTCTAGAGCAATGTTGTTTGTCTAGGTGCATGACCATCCCCTAACTATATAAATACAGCAGACCCTGCGAAAGAAAGGGTCGGAAGACTACTGTCCACTGAAATGGGCAATCAATGGCAATACTCAGGGTCTACGTTAAAAATGTGCGGTTCCAATCCACTTTTGTGATCAACATAATATTCCAGATTTAAGGGTATGGAAAATGATGACAACCAATTGAAGCCGCATGGTTTTGTCTGGAAAAGGGGATAGTATGCATGCTTATGCTACGCCCCCAAAATGGCAATTTTAACAGGACACATGATGATTGCCTATGTGATTTTGGGGTGCCCTATTTTCAGATATGGGTTGATATGGAGGAAGATGAGGAAGATGTGAAAGCCTACAGCCTACTTTCCGACCAAGCAACAAACCGAGCTCTGATGACCACGCCTGCTTCTGCAAGTCAGCGACCTAAAGTCGACCGCGTGCCCAAAGTCGGGGATGAGGGAGATGAAACAGAATTACCATAGAAAGTACGGAACCAACCAGTCAACCAACCAACCAACCAACCAACCAACCAACCAACCAACCAACCAACCAACCAACCAACCAACGAACCACTGGAATTTTATGGTTATGTGCTCCAAGAAAAATGAAGTCACTTTCATAACAAATTGCAAGCATAAGGGAACATCTTATCAATGATGAACCATGACTAGTGGAGACGTGACTAAAAAAATATATACAAACCAACCAAGCAATACCAAGAAACTATATGTATCTGGAGACATAGATGCGGGCAGAAGGTTAGCTACAAGACTGGGTTAGTCCACATCCAGTTGGGAAATCTGATCCCTTCACCTAGGAAGGCTAGGGTGGTGCCCTCTATCAACTAACATAGATGTGGAATGATGATACAAATCCACCATTTGTGGAAAAAATTGCAAGGCAAACCCGTGGGTTTTGCACATCTATGTTCTTTTACACCCGGGTAAAATCGCTCATGAACATGAATCAACCACACTTTGGGGGGTTGATAAGAACCCCCCTTTGCATGCTGACACTCGCGCGGTGCCTACTTCTTCCAAACAACACTTGAGTCGGTTTTGAACCTCATTTGGCCATATTTTGCACATGAATTTATCAGTGCCAATCTTAGATACCCTGGTCAGTAGAGAATCCCATTGATGCCAAAAGACTAAAGGATCAAACTACCCATCTAAGATTGCCTTAGTTATTAGGTACTTGAGGGTATCCACGCTATGTTCAAGACAAAAGCCACATTTCATCCCAAGGGACTTGCTTCTGATAAGATTCGTCCCCGATAAAAGTGTGGCTTATCCTATAAGTGGGTTACAACCCTACTTGCTATCCGTCCAGTTACTAAGTGGGGAAACACCAAGTAGGTGCCTATTGTTTGTCATATTGCTATCTGCCCTATATACATCCTGTGCACTGCCTGGTTGTATAAATCACTGACAAGATCGATATCAAAGAATGCTTCAAAGTCCAATGTACCCAACAAATGGCTACACTATCTTCTAATATCAACCATTAGCTTCGAACATGGGTTTGTCTAATACTGAACATAGGGTACCTCCAAAATGCTGTTGATCATTATGTTGCCCATATTTTAATGGCCACTTGTTTGCAAAGCAATATTCTGGTCGATGGTTTCAACCCCTCTGAAAAATATTAGTCAATTGGAAGGATTATCCCATATATTATGGGAAAAAATGCTTGAAACCACCAACCAGTATTAAATTCTTCATGGAAAACGAGCAAGTGCCTCCAGATCTGCGTTGAGCTGGTGTTTGTGATCCAGTGACAGTGACGGGAGAGGTTTTCAGGAATGCTACCCGCTGGTAAACTAACGTAACTATGGAAAATAAACCATGCTATTAATGGATAAATCCACTATTTCTATGGCCATTTTTAATAGCTTTTTGTATGTTTACCAGAGGTTACCACTTGGATGATGATACTCCCCAGTATATTGGATAGTAGATCCCTCAACCAACATACTGGGGATAAAAAAAATCAAACAATAAAGGATATATTTACATCAGCCAACAATCATATGCCAACTAAAAAAATAATCCCTCATAAACATCTATAAATTTATGTTGGAATATCATATGCCAACTCATAAACATGAGCCAACAATCATATCATGATGTGGTTAAAAAAAAAAACATCAATTCAATGAAGAAATTGCCGAGTCGTAGTCATCAACCCACCATCATATATCAATCGTCGATAGACATTGGTGGTTAATGGTGATTAATGGTGGTTAATGGTGATTAATGATGCTTAATGATGGTTAATGATGGTTAATTATCTGGTTGGTGGTTTTTCGCCTACCCCTCTGAAAAATCATGGAGTGACAGTGAGTTGGGATGATGATTATTCCCAACATGGAAAGTCATTCAAAATTCCATGGTTCCAAACCACCAAGCAGTAATGATTCAATCCTTCTTGTACTGATCAACAGGGGTGTCGCAACCTATGAATTAAAGGGTCACACACAAAACCGCAGCGTCCCCTGGCGCCCCTGGCAGCTTGCTTCATCTGAGCCTGCAGAGAACCGTAACTAAGCGAAATAGCTCTTGCAAACGATGAAACATAAGTGGAGCTGTCCAGTGATTTTATGCTATTTACATGTGATATGTAATCATTGTAGAATTATCAAGATAAAACATGCCTTTTTTATATTAATATGGTTTTATGTACTATGTATAATTTAGTAGGTTGCTGTACACAATCACCATTTGTAATAGGGATCTTACCATCGAACTAAATGGGCCATAGCTTCCATAGCAAACTGTGAATTACAGGACAGTAAGCATGTCTCTTGAGATTCCTCATTAAGTATCATCAACTTTGGCTGTTCATCCCCTGTTTGGCTCACCTGCAGTACCCTATGCCCTATGGAGGATCAACGTCTGGGGCGACTATCACTGTGTCACTAGCTCCGTCAACGGATGGCAACATCGTTGCTGGGGGACTCAAAGGATGAGGATGTCCCTTCCACATCGTCTTCAGCACATCTTACGTTTCCGTCATAAAAACTTACCATCCCCCCAATATCCACGAAAAAAGGACCCGGAGTATGGCCCATTTTGGCAGAGTCAAGGGTCAGTTGGAAGGGGGATATGGTACATCCCATAGAAAATCCATTCAAATTCTGTGATATCCCACGGATAAATTCCGCATGCCCGTTAAATCCTGATGAAAAACATTGAAAAACGAATCGATATCAAAAAACCAACCGTTTTTAAAAAGCCACCATTTCTGTGGAGACCATTTTCTGTTGAATTATATATATATATACCCTCTGGTTATGACTAACATAGCCATGGTATAGATGGCCCATAGAAATAGATGGTTTACCTGGGTTGACCTATTAAAACTGGTGATTTTCCATGGCGAACTGTTAAATAACCAAATGGTATATATAACCAACATATAATATATAGGTACCAACATAGATATTTCTGTTGAACCAACATAACTTTCCCGGGAAACCAGGGAATACAATGTGGTTCACGGAACCGCGGTTCCACCGTTGGGTGCCTGCTCCGCAGAGAGCTGGAATCGCTCTGACATCGATTCCACCTGGTCTTGGGGCCAGTGACCGGCGTCGCAAATGACGGGCCACACAAAAATGGAGGGTTCGAAGTGGGGATCTAGACACTTTGTTTACATTGCAATGAGTTTCAGAAAGCTAGAAATGATTGATTTGTCTTGTGTATTTATATATAATTAATTATATAGTGACGGACAATCACTTAGAACGTATTTTGGAAAAACAATCTGAATATTACTGCTTTTTTTACGTTCTAAGCCTTGCACTTAGAACGTCGAAAACCATACACTTAGAACGTCCAAATATCAAGATTCATCACTTAGAACGTACCGGGGATTTAACACTTAGAACGTGTCTAGGTCACTGAAGGTTGGAGGGTTATGTTTACTGTGCATGGAAGGGAACCATCACAGTTGATTTGAAACGGTGGGTACCTCATCGATTTTCTCGAAGGTTTTGGATTGTAGAAGTATTTATATTATATACATTTATAATGTATGTATTTATATATATACAAGTATATATACATATCATATGGTAATTGTTCATAATTATAGTGGCGGACAATCACTTAGCACGTTCTAAGTGTTGGTTTACGTTCTAAGTGATAAATGGGCCTAAGTGATATTTTGACGTTCTAAGTGATGAATTTTCCCTACGTTCTAAGTGATGAAATTTTGCTACGTTCTAAGTACGGAAAAAAAAATGGAAAAAAAATTACGTTCTAAGTGATTGTCCGTCACTATATATAATTATATATATACATATGTATGTAAATATATTAAATTATATATATAATATATAATATATAATATGTGTATGTCTATTAAGTTCAACTGTTCAACCATCTATATAAATGTCAAGTGGTTGCATACCCAAAACTGAGTTAGCGCCGTGTAGGAGTGAGCATTGCCTATGGTTTAAGATGGTTTAAGCCTATGGCTTCGCAGGCCATACATGTTGAATCCACTACCAGCCGGCGACGTGGGACTATAAAAGTTGCTGGCTTAGACCACCACAAAGCAATCATTGAGATATATGGTCACCAATATGGTCAATACATATCAATAAGATATCCTGGCTTTATTTACCCTCTGGTTATGACTAACATAGCCATGGTATAGATGGCCCATTGAAATAGATCGTTTACCTGTTAAAAATGGTGATTTTCCATGGCTAACTGTTAAATAACCAGATGGTAAGCAAACCAGCAACACAATCAGCAGTAGCCATATATGATCCCAATGAATTTTGTATATCAAGCTGCCATCGGATCTCCTACGTAGCATTTTGCATTGGAACTTCAAATTTTGCCCCAGCACGGATAGTTTTTTGTATCAATAATTTCGAGGTCTAGGTACGGTGGTCTCAAAAACAACTCCGGGTAGAGCTCAGACGTTGCCAACTACACAAGAGTAAACCATGACAGAACAACTCAAAGGTTGCGACACGCACAAGAAGGCAAAGCTCTAACATCTCACTTTTCCCAATTCCTGCCTGCTTTCTGAGCACAGTCACCTCCAGCTACAAACAGCCATGAAAATTCACAATGGAAGAACAGAATTTCTTGGGATGTTTCGCACAGTTTCTGGCACCCAAAATCTGTGGGTTTTCCATGGTTTTCCTAGAGATCCAGAGTGGGTCTCGATTGATTTGTCACAATTCCCAAATGATATGAGACTCAGAAACATGACAGCATGGTTGCAAACATGTTTGTATCATTTTGTATCTCAAGTATTTAGTATACATTAATATCCATTAATATCCATTAATCTGGGTAAATTATAGTATTTCACTAACCTGAAATCAGGCTGTCTTCGGAATGTTTCCCCTTACTAACCATCTTTATAGTGAAGTCGCAGTGAGGTCGTTATAATTTACCCAGAACATTATATATTACAATACTAAGTCTTGGTTATTAATAAACATTATTGTTTTATAAACATTATATACCATAAACATTATATAATATTATATACCATTAATACCATATTTCTCTGCCCGTGATTTCCCTTGAAAGTGACTATTGTTTTGGACACGACAGGTCATGCACCAACAGTCCGGCACTGCTGCTAAACGGTCAGTGGCCACAATCACTACACCCTTGTTTGAAAAAAAAAATACCTGGGCACTTCCCCAAATTCTGAAGTTCTACCATCTGGTTATTTAACAGTTACGCCATGGAAAATCACCATTTTTAATAGGTAAACCATCTATTTCAATGGGCCATCTATACCATGGCTATGTTAAATAACCAGATGGTATCCTTTGTAGACTGCTAAAATATCAGGGGTTTGATGATTTCACATATCTACGTTTGTACTTGTGTGATGAAGTCTGATGTTTAATGATTGTAAATATAGCTTTGAACCTATGAAACTATAATAAACACTGGGAGAGTACACTGTACACCATGATAATCATATTGCTTTATATATGCTTATATTATAAATTACTATCATACTGTGGATGGGCCAGCGAATCCTGCATCACCAAAAGGATGGTTGAAACCGTTGAATCCCTATAAATAATGGGATAGACCACCTATTAACTGCTGGTAATTTCACCGTTCGCGAACTAGAAACCACCATGCTATTCTTAGTAGGTAAATCATCAAAAAACATCTATAATTTAAATGAGCCATTCTCCATAGCTGTGTTAGTTTATATATCACTTATATATTGTTTCATGATACGCTGCTCTCCAGCTCCCCTTTCGGCGCGACCTCTGAGGAAAGCTCCGAACGTGACTCCTGCGCATGGCGCGAGACATCATTTTGAGGAAAACGTGTCACCACCGAAAGGATACAATGTGAGGCCCCCCAGTTATGTTTGTTGGTTTATAAACACCATGAATACTATAGTTATTTGCGTATCATAAACCATAGTTGGAGTTATAAACCAACTTAGCTATCTAGGGGGCCTCACATGTAGAATTGGATAAAATCTCGCTAAAATCAGGGTTGCTCCAAACACCTCAGGTACGCTTGAGGGGGTAAACTGGGTAAATATAAAGGTCACATATGGCAAAATGATCCATTTCCTACACAAAAGTGACCAATTATCATTTACCTAAAATGACTTGGAGCAACCTTGAAAAAGTGAAAAACATGTCTTTCTATATGTATATGTATATATATATATATCTCTCTCTCTCTCTTTGAGGGTTACTAATTATATAGTCCTCTATTGTCTTGACACAAAGCCACCAAGCCACAAGAGTCTTCGAAAACCACGTCATTCCCATGAATCCTGGCTGGTGAATGGGAATTTTATAGTTCATGGTTTATCTGGTTGGTGGTATACCTACCCCTCTGAAAAATATGAGTTCGTCAGTTGGGATGATGAACTTCCCAATATCTAGGAAAGTCATAAAAGCCATGTTCCAAACCACCAATCAGTCATCGTAATCATCATATTGCCTATTAAAATATATTCAACATATGATATCTGGGGGTGTCTGAAAAGTCATGGAGGATTTTCAGTCACAAGTTGGTCATAATACGAAGTCACTGTCTAATAACTTGGATGAAACCAATGGATTCATATGGATTCACTGTTAGGCTTTTTTAGATGCTACCCTCTGGTAAACGTTTACAGTTTGCTATTGAAAATTGTCATTTATAGTTGATTTACCCATTGAAACTGGTAATTTTACCCATTGAACATAGTAATTTTACCATTTATAGTTGAAACCAATGGTCATTTTAGCCATTGAACATGGTAATGTTCCATATAAATCACCATTTTCCCATGGTTTTCTCATATAATATATGATGTTGGTTTACCAGAGGGTACCCCCCACTGCTCTTTCATGACGACTGGATGATGGGACATCGTCTCCCATCTCCTGTAGCCGAAAGTGCGTGAAGGGCAGCCACTCGTCCTTTTCACGGCTCGTGAATCACGGGCGAAACGGGGATCCAATGTGTGTCATGTGGACATTAATTATATATATATAATATATACTGTATGTATATATATATATATAAATTATATATATATACATAATATGTATGAATGAATATGAACCATGATATGAACCTTATAAGTTTGATGATAAATTATTTTCATTGATTAATCTTTCTATATCTTTGAGGGGATAGTGCTAGGATGATAAACATATGGAGGTTTCCAAAGTCATGGGGGCAACCTCCCATCCCGCCATGACTTTGGAAACCCCCATATGAAAATTCATAATCTGCATGTATGCTTTACCCTCTGGTAAACGTTTACATAACTATGGAACATCACCATGTTCAATGGGTAAATCCACTATTTCAATGGCCATGGCTTCAATAGCTCTGCAACAGTCGTTACCAGAGGGTATAGTTTTTGTGGAGTCATCAGACTGGATCCTCATTGCCAACACCCATCCAGTCAGGACTGGATCTGAGAAAATCTTGGGGTTCATCCCTCCGGGGGTGCAAACCTACGCTGCGATGAAAACGTCTCACGAATTAACAGGATATGTATGTATAACTCCAATTTCACTATGGTTTATGGTACGCAAATAACGAACTAGTATTCATGGGGTTTATAAACCAACTTATAACTATCTTGGGGGCCCACATTGTATATCTATACACATATTACCAACAAAAAATAAACTGATTACCGCCTATTCTTGGAGGCATTCTGTTTGTAACATGTTGTGACTCAAACTCCAAAGTGGCATACATAAATTGTGGGTTTGTGTCACATAATTCACAAATATCATCCACTGAGTTGTTCTTCATCCAAAATCGGTGAAGCTCGCGTGAGACAAATGAGACTGGACAGGATGCATTTGAGTTGGATGAGATCCATGGGTGGATCCTTCCACCCACGTTGGACAATGCAAAAACGTGCCTAAAGTGGACACGTGCCGTGCACAATCAACATGTGAGCTTATAACCCCGCGGCCGGCCACAAGTATTGACAAGGGCTATACTGAGTCAGGTATATTTTGCAACATTCTTCACAGCAAGAAACAACCAGGATCATCCAAACAAATGCAACACCATTTGCACGCCAGTCGCCAAACTCCAAAGATACATAGTACCTGGGGGTGCAGGAACAGTTGCAAGTGGTTCTATGACCAGAGTTGTAAGGGCCAATTCCAAGTTATGAAGTAAGTCCCACGGCTATACCCAGATCACGGCCGGGCGCCTCATCATTTCCGAAGCCCACATAGTGGACCTAATCAAGTTGACCAGGTCAACTTGAAGGCTGGTGGAGTGGCTGAATCATTCCATGGATTCAGAGGGATTGAATCACCAGACCATTCAGTGACTTGTTGATCCCCTCAGATGCAAAACCCGGAATTTGCATGCGTTTATTCGTCACTGCCGTCGTTTTGTAATGTTTTGTACAGTAACAAAAACACCATGCTAGTCACATCCCAATGTTTACAGATGATTTTCCCTTTTTCCCTGAAGAAAAAAACTACCCAAGGTTACCAATGGCCCGGTTCACGGCACAAGGTCGCAAGGTCGCAAGGTGATGGCAGCTTCCGAGGTTCGTCCCCGCACCATGGGGAATGAATTATTGTAATTATTGTGGAACATGAGAAATATATCGAACCTGACAACGGTCATAGGCCCCGCGGAAAAATCTTGAATCCCTCTCAAATTATTGGTGAGCGATTTCACGAACTATTTGGGTTTGTTTGAAAATTTGGCAAACAACTCCGAACTCCCACGTTGAATGAATCGTCATCATGTGGCTCCAGTACAATGGCTATAACGCGAGGGTATATTCTACTTTTGGAGCAACCCTGATTTCATCATCTGACTGAGTATGACTTAATCTTGTTTACCCTGATTTCATCTGTGATACTTTGCCAAGAACTGCCATAAAGCAGTACAAACACCCTTATCCCATCTGATTATACTAGTTGGTTGAAAACGCTGTCCCTACTAGGGGTTAGTTCATAATCCCCAATAGGTCATATACAGTAACTCTCTATGTCAGATCAACCAAGGGATTTTCAAGATATGACTGCTAAATATTCCATTAGTATATATCATATATATTTATATTTATATATATATATATATATATATCTCAAAACCATTCGCCCTCCCAGGGCAAGAGCACGGGCACCTTTTGCCGCTTGAGCGTAGGTTCCCTATCGGTCATGCATCTGTTACCCTGCTGGAGTATGCACTCATGGCTCTGCTTTCAACACTGGTTATAATCTTTAAAGTTTTGTATTTTCCAGGAAACTTCGCCAATGGAAATCAAAAAGGACAGCCAGGTATTCAGCAGATATGTGCAAAACTGTAAAAATGAATTTCATCGGTCCAGCAATACTCGAAGGCGATCGGTGCCTGGAATGAACGGTCCATCTGACTTGGCTGAACCATACTTCTGATTCTCAATGCGCTGATATTCCACCAGAAAATTGGAAAGGTCTTTGAGAAGGCCATCTGCTGATCGATTGCGCTGGATACACCAATTCTTGTACTTGATGCACTCCGGAGACTGGCTTCGAGCCAGGTGCAAATAACTCATTTTCTGACCCTCGTATTTCCCAAAGTCAATTCTGGTTTTACTCCAAGTCTCAAAATTGCTCACCCCTGAAGGCAGTTTGATCTTGTCATCACTGTCAAGACAGTCGTGGGTGGATGAAAACTCCACACTGGTCTTGCTTTTGCGATTGCCATATCCAGTACACATGCTGTCCGAACCCTTGGGAACATGGGGTCGCTGAAGATCATCAATTTCCACAGAAGGACGCCTTTTGGCTGCATCTGTCATAGACTCACCAGCACTGCTAACCAAAGAAAATTGGCTGGTAGGTGAATCTGTTGGAAACATGTGCTGACCCTCAAACAGATCCTGTAGAACTCCACATTCCTTGGCCTTGGACACAATCTGGCGAAAGGCTTCAGTGTCTTGCTTTGACCACGACATCTGACACAGGTGATGATAACACTACCGCACCAAAACAACTCTGATATTCAAAGTCGTAAGGTTGAGAAAAAGGTGGCTATTGGATCGCAGGAACTTCTTAAGATGCTGACGCTCTCAGGAGATATTATGGATTAGGCAGCAACTGTCGCAAAACAAACATGCAGGAAAACTTTGTGATCAGATGTTCTCACCTGAATCTGTTCTAAACTATACATGACGTCATGCAAGGTGTGACATGAAAACTGGAAGCACAGTGATCTTTGCCGTCAAGGAAACAATTTGGCATCTATCCACAATTGATTTCTCGAAATCATGCCCATGGTGGGCCGAGTATTTCACAGGCAAAAACTGCTATACAAACAAAACTCACTTTTGGCTTCTTTCAACTTTTTGAGAACCCTGGTTGTTCTTCTGGCGCTCTTTTCGCAACTCTCGCTCGGCTGCTTGGCGTGCAAGTACGGTGGTTTCGGGAGCAATTTGATATACTCCACTGCGGACGCAACTGCGAAGCAAATCTGCAGGATCCAGCTTATCTTTTGTCAACCCATCGGCAATCATTCTATCGGTTGGCAGCCATCTGATTATACCCTGTAGATCTTTTATCGACTCTCTTATGATTACCACATCTATACTAGTGCGTCTATCATCTATGGCTGTGGGTGACGAGGGACTTACTAGATGATCATACAGAGACTTACAATCAGTGGCAAGGAGAGGACGTCTTCGTGACAAAATGGCTCTGGCTTGTCTCAGCTGGAAAGGTCCATCAATTGCTTCACTCATCATGAGGGACAACCACTCTACTGTACCGCTGGCCACGCTCATGGCTTGGCTTTCACCTGCCAATGTTGAGCTGACAGCTCTAGCAAGACGGTAGCTTTTCCAAACCACCGGAACCCAAGGAGCTTCCTTGGCATCATGCAAACATTTGTCGGTGAAGGCTATTATATATCCTGCTTGAGTATGTGTTCCCACATTTGCCCATGCTGCGTCGCTGTGACACACTATCGTCAAGTCTTTAACGGGAATGCTTTGAAACACAATCTTCAACTGCTTGTGCTGCTTGGCTCTTCTGACGGCATTGTTTGCATCTCTCAGGTTCCGGATGCACGGATTTGGGAAAGCCTGCTGCGACATGCTTGTCTGACAGGAAATGTCAGGCCGGCTTTGGGAGGCAAGCCAATTCAGACTTCCGTTGATGGCTCGAAGAGTCTTTATTTGGCTTTCGTTGAGAGGCTGGCTATTGAGAACTCCTTTTGGGATATGAGCACATTTCAAAGTATCGGCAAACGTTTGCATGGACATGGAAATGGCAAAACTGTCTTTGTCTTGTTCATAGAAAGCACCACAAAATCCACCAGAGGACACTCTCCATTTCCTATAGGGAAATCTTGCTTTCAGCTTTGCCACAGACTCTTCAAAAAGAGTACCACAGCCTGCAATGGCTGTGTCGTCCACATGCACACCCATAATGCCGGTGAGCTCGCCTGTGTTTGAACGCAAGTAGTAAAGGCATGAGTCGAACTTGGATCGGCTCCAGCCTAATGAGATGACTTCTTGATCAAAGGTACGATACCACATGACTGGGGCATCGTTCTGCCCATAGACATTTCCCGTCACCTCAATTACTGCGTCACTTGGAAGGCCAGGCACACCGCCCATAGGCTGCTTTGCAAACAAAGGGCGGAACTTTTCAGCAATTGGACCAGACTCGAGGAAAGCGCCCTTGATGTCACCAAGTTGCAAAATCCAACGATTACTGGCAATTATTTGCATCAGGAGATTCCTACCCATTTGACTGAGTGTTGGGGATTGCAGCAAGCCATCCTCGATTTCTGATCTAAGTCTGGGTCAAGATGTCCCTGCAGGCACCAGCGTGATTTAACACGAAACGTGTTAGGATCTTCAGGGTTCACCTGACCGTTTTCTTCAAGAGGCTTGCGGGTGATCACATGTCTACTACCGATGAAGCGATCAGGATACTTTTCTCGGATACGCTGTGCATCTTTGCCAAAGTGAAAGCGAATGGCATTTTTCTCTTTCAGGGTATCCCATTCTGTTCTTTTTGAGTCATCAATCGCTTCCTGAAGAGCTGGGGAGTTACCCGTGGGTGGCAGTTCTTTGGACATCTTCTTTGCTAGGTACCCCGCTATTAACACCTCTATATCCCCATGTTTATCCCAATCATTCAACAAGCTATTTATTTGGGTCACGGTCAACACTTCATGGACTGGTTCTTCATGCATGTTGGGGCTATCGAGAGCAACG